GAAACTTAAATAATAAATTTGATATTATTGATATATATATATTTTTTCCAAATTTTTATGATATATTTACATTTATATTCTATTCAAAAATAAAAAAACATTATTGTTTTTTTAAAACCACTAAAACCGTATTATATCGACAGAGATAAATAAGAAAACGAAACATTAAAATTGAGATATATCTCACTATATTATGCAAGCATTCTTCTAGTATTTCTATAATACATAAATATTTCTAGGTGCCGATATCAATATATATACTATACAATAAAACATTTGACAAAAACTCTTATAAACTATTTTTTATACTTGAAATATTGTTTATTGATGTATATTACTTAAAATTCAATATTACAAGTACGTTGTGCGTATGTACAATTTATTGAAACTCTATTTTTGAATTCGTGTAACTAACTGTAAATAAATATAATCAAATATATGATAAACATTATATTTTAAATATAAAAAATTAAAATATAATTATGATAACCATTGAGTTCTAACAGAATATTTATTATCCTTATAAAAGTTATCTTATTAAAAAAAATCTATTACTATATGATAAAGCATTTGACAAAAACTCTTAAAAATCATCTTTTATGCATGACGTACTGTTTATTGATGCATATTACTTAGAATTCAATATTGTAAGTACGTTGTGCATATGTACAATTTATTGAAGCTCTATTTTTTAATTCCTATAACTAACCATAAATAAATATAATCAAATATATAATAAACATCTTATTTTAAATATAACAAATTAAAATATAATTAGGATAACCATTGAGTTATAATTATTATCCTTATAAAAATTATATTATTAAATAAAAATAAACTACTTTGTTATTAAATCTAAATTAAATTATAATAAAATTTATACAAAAAATAAGAAATTTTGAATAGTTAATTTAGTACTAATATCGATATATTTTTTTTTTCAAATTTATATTTAAGTATTATTATTAGTTGTTGCAGGTATGTTTCTTGACATTATTTGCATAATAATGCTTCTAAGAAGTATAGTTTTTGAGATTGCGCATGTTCCATGAAATACCAAACTCATGACCCGTGATAATTGACCAAAGCCATTCATATAAGGAGTAGGAATGCCAGGGTTGAATATTATGCAACGGATATTTCTAGATCTATTAGACTTAGTTATGTTCATGTTCCATTTCTCTTTGGATTTATGATTTATTCGACTCAGAGATTGTCTAAGTTAAGAAAATTTATTTCAGTTTCAGATTTTATTAGAATTCTGCTACACGTATTGTTAAGTTTAAATGTGTTATTCATGTTGATTGCAATATGAACATGTAAATTGTTATATGAACATGATATACATATTTATGGTGAAAATAAAGTACATTTAAATACGTCTAAAATCAAATAATTGAGTCATTTAGATGTTTGAGTAACTCTTTTTGAAAACAATTCTCAAAATATAAGAACCAAAACAAGATACATTTCATTTCACGTTTTTCTTAAAATTCGCTTCACAAATGATAACCAGTTAGTGCTAATATCAATTGTTCGTTGCTAAACTTCAGATAAGACTTAAAATGATAACTAGTTGATACCAACCTATTTTCATGCATTTTATCTTAATGAATTAAGCTAATATGATGAGGTTTAATATATCTATACTATATTATAAAGCATTTGACAAAAACTCTTAAAAACCACTTTTTATGCGTAAAGTACTGTTTATTAATGCATATTACTTAAAATTCAAGATTACAAGTAGATTGTGCGTAAGTACAACTTATTAAAGCTCCATATCTGAATTTATGTAACTAACTGTAGATAAACATAATCAAATACATGATACACATCTCATTTTATATATAAAAATAATCTAAAATAAAATTATGATAATCATTGAGTTCTAACGGAATACTTAATTATTATCTTTATAAAATGTTATATTATTAATAAAAAAAGAAATTACATAAAAAATGAGATTAAATAAATGATTTGATATCAACATTGATATATATATTTTTTAAATTTTTATGATATGTTCAAATTTATATTTTATTAAAAAATAATTCATTATTGCTTTCTTAAAAACACATAAAATTATGTTATAACATCGACAGAGACAAATAACAAAATAGAACATTAAAATCGAGATGTATATTTTTATATTGTGCAAGTATTCCTCTAGTTTTAAAAAAATAGAATAAATTGAGCAGGGAATATATTTAAAAGAAAGATTATTCCTAATTTTCTGGAAAGTTATTCGTTTTTATTCTCTGTATGTGAGAAAAATCTTGAAATCGGATATTTGACTTTGGTAACGATATTAGTTGATAACCACATAGCGTCGAATCTGATGCATATATAATAACAAACTCACAATCGCCGTTCATCTTCTCTACAAATCTCAGCCAACCATTCTCCTCCTCATAATCAAACTCTTATCTTTCAATCGCTGCTGCTTTTTATGCCTCCCCCAAATTTCATCTCAATCTAAATCCTCAAACTTATCGATCCCATACCTTTCTTTCGCTTTTTGTTGCACCCATCTTTATATAAGAATACCCGCTCAATTTCGGAGGGAATAAGCATAAAAAACTTGGGTTTTGTTTTTACAACAAATCTGGCTGTAAAGAGGTTGGATCTTCATCATATTTTCATGAATTTTATATGTATTGATGGGTTTTCTTCAAATTTTGGATTTTTTTTTTTGTAGAATTATTTCGAAGTGTTGATTGAAAATTGTTTGTTTTGATTATGTAATAATTGTATCTACTGTTTTTCTCGTCGAATCTTAGGTTGTTTGTAGATTTATTTTGTTTTCTTGATTCAAAATTGTGTGTTTCGATTACCTTGTTATTGTATTTACGGGGTTTTCTTCAAAATTTCATCTGGTCTATGAGCTTATTGTGTTTTATGATTATGCCAATTATTAGGGTTTCTTACGTCTTCACCATACGTATGGCGACTATTATGTGCCTTTTAATATTGTTCTGTATTGGTTTAGTCTACACGGATTTGGAAAATTGTTTGTTTTCAAACGACGAATTTTGAAAAGTATATCGACACTTAATTTTAGTTATCCAAAAATATTGATTTATGTTGATGAATTCACTAATTAACATGAACATGCGTGTATAGGGAGATTATCTAGTTGCTTTAGCTCAATCCTTGCCCAAGTTTCTATCAATAATTTTTATGTTTTAAATGTTGATTATATCAATTTGACTCAAACGTTGATATCTATTTCTCATACTTAAAATTTGGATTGTGTGATTGAGTTGATGTATGTGAATGAAGCTGTATTGGGTTGTAATGTATCCTTTGCCGGATCCTCAAATTGGGTGCTTTAGGGATGCTATTTTCGTGGGTGCCGAGGCTTGTGGTGTTGACCGGTTTTCCAAATCCTTTACCAAGGATATAGGGATCTATAAGTGTATTTTGGTCAAGTGGGTTTCTTCTCAGACTAGCCGCTGTAGTAGAGGTCATGCCGGCCTACATCTTGGACCCACAGGCCCTACTTATGAGTGAAATTTATTGTGTTGGTTTGGTTTTAAGGGTATGTTGCCGTTCCATTGAAAATGGAGAGTGAAAACCCAAAAGATTATAAAGCTGATGAATAAGGGTAAAAGTTCTGAAGTAAATTTATGTGACATAGAAAGGATGACACGATAATTTTAGTTGTTGATGGTATGGATTTATGTGGATGTAATATGTAAAAGCGAAAGCAAGATAAGCATTAACCTTTAAGCTTAAGTATGTGCTTGTTTTGATGCATGAATCATGAGATAATTCTTTCTTGTATGTTATACACATATAAGCACACCCAATATCCTCACTTATATAGATTCAATGAATCCTGGTTTTCGTGCATCACACACATGATCATCGTGTATGTATTCTTTCAACATAGTTTATGGATGTTTGTTGATGAGATGGTTGTACTGGAGGTTGGAATATCTTTGATTTTAAGGAATAGTTTTGTTATCTTCTCTTGTTGCTTTGGTTTTACACTTATACGCATGTATGCATGTATGTATGTGTATGTACATACGCATGTATGTATTGATACACCTATGTACATACATCCAGAAGATATGGTATTCATATGTCATGTACAGCTGTATTCCCACATCATACTGTATTCAGCAACATCTTTTCTAAACTTTTGATCATTACAAATAAGTTGATATTCCAAGATTCATTTGGGTTCACGAGTTTCCTCTATCTCATCTTTTTAACTCTTCAAGAGTATATTAGATATTTGATTATTGGTCAAACTTTCCTATCATTATCCTAACGGAGTATACTGCAATGTGCAAGTGGTTTATTTTATTATCTGCTTTTTGTTGTTGTTCTTTGTTAGTTAATCATAGTTTCTTGATTTATTTGTTGCTTCCATTTGAAATTTATCAGGCAATTGTCTCTAACGCATGTCAAAAACTGGGATCCAATAGGACCCGAAGGACTTGTTTCAGTCTGGCCGCTACAACAAATTTAAACCGTTCTCGCACCACTAGACAGGTGTGGGGTAATCGTAATGAAGGAGTGATTCTACTTTGTGTGTTGAGAAGATCAAGATCATCTCACATCTGGAGACTGCGTCGTGTTTCAGTTGGCTTGTCATTTGATTACGGCTAAGACCACCGTTCTCTAATCAACACCCACAAGTTCTTATTGAGCTAGATGTTTGTTTCAATCTTTTCAATCTTCTAGATGTAGTTGATCACTGACTTCGTTGTCATTACATTTGAAAGTCAGCACAACGTGAGTCAACTCAGCGGGTTTGAGTTTGACTAAGATGTTTAGGTTCTCGTGCTTCCATTCATCCGCTCATTCTCAGAAACCAAAGGTGAGCAAGCTCATATTTTTGTGGTTTCGTATTTGGACTATTCAGCCGTTGACCTTAAATGAGAATTTTATTACAACATAACCTTCTGCCAAGTTTAGTAGCATTCTTGTGTATGGAAGTGACACTTCTATGCTAAGAAGTGACATTCTCAAACCTGTCAAGAAGGCTATGGATTTAAAAGAAACTTGTTAGAAGGTCATTCAATGAAAGCATCTTGTTTTCGTGACCATTGTATCTTTTTTATGCAGAAAACCGTCCATTTACCTACTGAGGCAATGCAAAAAACATTGGAAGATCACCACACACATCAACCTAGGAAAGATTCCATCTTTTTGAAAGAAGTTCCTGAAGGCGAAAATACTGATCCATCTCAATCTTCTATGGTTCAAGATTGGAATTCTGAAGGACCCAAAAGCAAGAACGACATTGATAGTGAAGATGACCACGAAATCCGAAGAATTAGGAAGAGCGTGTCTCTAGGAAGCGGCTTAGCGCACTATCAGGAAATTGCACCTGGTGAGGAATCGTCTACTTCTAACGGTACTAATGCTAATCATAGTGAGTCGGGAGTTCAAGTTGATGAAAAAGATGAGTACCTGAATGCTCAGGCTTCAGCCTCTCTTCAAATAAGTTCGAATCTGGTTAATCACGCATCAGAATTTTCACCTGATTACTTGCAACAATCTGAGAAGGAAGTTGGTGAAAACTCCGAGACTCAATTTTCTGGTGCAGGTACTGGTGGTTCTAGCAGCCGTGCACCATGCACTCCCCACGCCATTGTGAAATCAAGCTCTTTGCCGTTTTTGCATTTGGCTCATGGCAATATTGTCCATCATTCCCGATCTTCTGAGGATTTGACGGCGTTAGGTTTGAGACGGAATGATAAATCCGTTGATAATGACGATATCGGTAAAACTTCACCAGAGCAAGAAATGGAAAACGATAGTGTAGGCCAGATTGAAAAAACGGATGGTGATGATGGTGAAGATGCTTATGATTATGTGGGTTTGGCAAAAGATTGGATCGTGCCTGCTGTCGATGAACTGGGCAACGGTAAAGACCTGAAAAAAGATTCTTCAGTTTCTCAGTGGGAGGAATTGCCTCATGAGGATTTCAGGATCAAACGGATTGAGAAATGGGTTATGGATCTCCGGCGTTGTTCTTCATTGGAAGAAACCAATATTCCTACGAACCTTGATTATGGGCAAAATGTTAAAAGCACCATCTTGGATCCTGTGGCATCTTCAAAAAATGACGATAAGGCTGTTTTGGGCATGGATGCTGCAAAAAGATACATTTCTTCTCTGAGTACTTCAGCCACAGCAGCGCAGCTTACAAACCATGGGTTGGTTGTGATCCCATTTTTGAGTGCTTTCTCGAGCCTCAGGGCGCTTAATTTGTCGGGGAATTCAATAGGTTCGAATTCCATTTTTTGATCTTTTTTCGTCTTCTGGATTTAGTCATCATGTTGTTTGGTTTATTTATGATATTTATTTGTTTTATTAGTGAGGATAACTGCGGGTGCGCTTCCTCGAGGACTCCATATTCTAAATTTGTCGAAGAACAGTATCTCCATCATTGAAGGGCTTCGAGAACTCACGAGACTACGCGTACTTGATCTTAGCTACAATCGAATTCTCAGAATCGGGCATGGTATGTGCTTTTTCCTGCAATATTTGCTAATTGTCTTTGTTTCTGCTACCTGTTCGCTCACATTTTTTGTACAAGCCAGTGTTTTCATGGAAACAACACTTTACTGTTGGGGGTAGAGTTCAGGTCTTTGTACATCTCACCCACGTCTTTTGGTTAATTGACCTGTCAAGTTTTTTTCCTTCCTTTTTTTATGTTTAAATTTCATGAACTTCTGACAGGTTTGATAATGCCACTTCCTAACAGAATAATGCCTAGAAACTTGTAGATTTAGAAAGCACTTGTAAGGGGGTTATTTAGCTAAATAACTCCCGGACCCTGTTTTCGAGTGGGATTTACTGGGTTGGGTTGGGTTGGTTTATTTGTTAGTTTGGTTTGGTTTGTTTTGAATTGAAGTGTGTAAATTTGTGTGTTTGGAAGGTCTGGCGTCGTGTTCTTCGTTGAAAGAGCTGTACTTGGCCGGGAACAAGATAAGCGAGGTGGAGGGTCTCCATCGTCTCCTAAAACTGAACGTTTTGGATCTTCGTTTCAACAAACTGTCGACAACGAAGAGCCTAGGCCAGCTTGCGGCTAATTACAACTCCTTACAAGCCATCAGCCTGGAGGGAAATCCTGCCCAGAAAAACATAGGAGATGAACAGCTCAAGAAGTTCCTCCTTGGTCTTCTTCCTCATCTTTCTTATTTCAACAGGCAATCAATCAAATCTGGTGCCGTGAAAGACTCAGCTGACCGAGCTGCCCGACTCGGCATTTCTGCACATCAAATTGACCGTGGGCTAAGGTCAGAAACCAAAAAGTCAGCACATGGTCGGAAAAGTCAACCGGTGGCGGCTCGGGGACGGCATGTGCGGCTACCACCAAGTGGGGTTAAACCGACGAGCGATAGGCATCACTTGCGTGATGTGAGTCCCAACCTTTTGAGCTTCAGGCCGGATCTTGCGATGCGAAGAACTCACAGTGAAGGTTTGCTGAGGGCTGTTTGAGTTGGAGAATAAGGAAAGGTTTGATTTGTGGGTGTTTTTGGTTTGTTTTGGATTTGGGATTTGGCTTGTTTTATTGTGACATTATCATTTTGATTGGTGTTAGTTTGGAACATATTTGTTGTGCTATGGGTCTGAACTTTGTTTATTTATTTGATATTTGATACATTTGGTTGGAAGTTGGAATCTTAGATTTAAAGTTCTTGATCTCTTTTGGCTTTTACAAAAGACCCTGGTTTGTTCGCTTGGTTAACCACACAGGCAACTTTCTTGCAGCCATGAATCAGCACCTTCCTTCATTTGGATAACTGTACGTCTTCAGGTTAACCTAAGGCTTGTTTGCCAAAAGCTTACTGTGTAAGTATTTATTAGATGTCACATGTCTTACCATACGAGTACGACAATGATTGAGAGCCTTATTCAGTAGAAGGAATAATAGCAAGGACTGAAATCTGTAAATGATGAAGAAAAGTCTTACCTGGTAAGCACTTAGCAGGTAAAATATGTTACCAACAATTCATTTTGATAGCCAGAAATATTACCTGACAAGGTGAGTGCTTACCTGACAAATGTTTAGTAAACGACCTCTTACTTGCATCTCGACTAATTCTATGATGCCTTAAAAGATGACAACTAGGAAAATCCAAATGGTCATGAAAAAACTCGAGCTTGCCATCTAAGTACTTATATGGGTCAGCTTAACTTACTAATTCTATGGTGCCTTAAGATGATTTTGAATCAGCCAATTAGTTTTTTTTTTCTTTTTAAAAATAACAAATAAATATATAAAAGAATGAAGTGGTACAACTAAGTTATCAGTTTCAATGAAAGAAATTGAGAGACTCTTAACACCACTTAATCATTCTACATCAAACCATTCAATAATCGCCAAACTCTTTAATTAGCCTTCCTCGTACCATTGCGAGTATGGTTTCTTTCAAGTTAAGAGGGACTGAAATAATTAAAGGTTGGTCACTAATACTAGAGGGTCACATAACTAAGCCCATTTAATAGCAAACAGTGATCTATAAACGTCTTCCAGTTATTTAGAATTTTCAAAACTCTTTCAACTTTACAATCTTTCGGAACAAGACTTCAAATAGAACAAGTACTTCATTTTAGTTCGACTTATTTCTTTATTTATTACTCCCGGCGGCTTTTGCAAGTTAGAGTACTATTTTGTTGTGACTAGCAACCAATCATATATAACATTTAGGACCAGATGGCTAAATTGCCACTTCAATACTGCATGTTTACATGTTTCATCTCATCTGATTCTCTTTCTTCTTGTCTAAATTTTGCATCCGCCATGTTCTGCACAAAAAGTAACAGCTTAATGGGGTTTCTGCTTCTTTTCTATTTCTCTTTTACCATTTGTTTCTCATCAGGAGCTGACACCTTATCTGCAGACCAGTCTCTATCTGGAGACCAAACAATCATATCCAAAGGTGAGAGCTTTGTGGTGGGTTTCTTCAAACCAGGTGACTCTTCCAACTATTACATAGGCATCTGGTATAAAAAGGTCTCTTCCAACCCTCCTACCGTAGTTTGGGTGGCAAACAGAGAAACGCCCATATCTGATAGATTCAAGTCTCAGTTAAAAATCTTAGATGGTAACTTAGTGCTCTTAAATGAGTCCAACTTCCAGATTTGGTCCACAAATGTTACCACCGCCACCAATTCGAATTCTACAATTGCTGTTATTCGTGACGATGGTAACTTGGTGTTGAGAGACAGGTTAAATTCAGTTGAAGCCGTTTGGCAAAGTTTTGACCACCCAACTGACACTTGGTTGCCTGGTGCTAAACTTGGTTATGATCATAGAACTAAAAAGAGCCAGCTTCTTACTTCATGGAAACGCAAAGTAAATCCTGCTGAAGGACTTTTTTCTATGGAGTTTGAACCGTCACAGAAGCAGTATATATTTAAGTGGAATCGTTCTAAACAATACTGGACAAGTGGTTCTTGGAATGGGAGAGTATTTAGCCAAATACCTGAAATGAGGTTGAATCACATTTATAATTTCAGCTTCTTTTCGAATGAGAATGAGAGTTACTTCACTTATTCTGTGTATAATCCTTCCATTATATCCAGATTCGTTGTGGATGTTTCCGGACAAGTTCAGCAACAAACATGGTTGGATAAACAGTGGCGTATGTTTTCGTCTCAACCATGGTATGTGTTTTGGCCTCAACCTAAAATACAATGTGAGGTCTATGGTTTTTGTGGGGCTTTTGGTACTTGCAGTCTGACTAGATTGCCAATCTGTAGTTGCTTGAGTGGTTTCAAGCCGAGATCAGAGAGTGACTGGAATCAGAGTGAATTCTCTGAGGGATGTGTGAGAAAAACTGATTTGCAGTGTGGGAGAAATGTGGAAAATCCCGATTTTTTAATGATTACAGTCAAGAGTCTGCCAGAAAATAATTTTGTGGCGGTTGGGAGTGCTGGAGAATGTCGTACCAACTGTCTAAACAACTGCTCCTGTAATGCTTACTCTTTTGTTGATGATAAGTGTTCTGTTTGGGATGGGGATCTCTTTAACCTCTCAGAAGACAACACTAATGGGAAAGAAATCTACGTCAAGGTTGCTTCTAAAGATCTTCCACGTCGTAAAAAGAGCAACAGGGTCACTTTGAGTACTGTTATTGGGTCCGTTGCAGGCGTGTTTTTTGTGTTGGGTCTAATTTTGCTTATAATCTATAGAAAAAAGAGGAGGTTGGCTGTAAAAATTTCAATGGAGGGCTTGCTGGTGGCTTTTAAATACAAAGATTTGCAGATAGCCACCAAAAATTTCTCTGACAAACTGGGTGGAGGTGGTTTTGGTTCCGTTTTTAAGGGGGTGTTGCGTGATTCATCTGTTGTGGCAGTGAAAAAGCTCGAAAGCATCAGCCAAGGAGAGAAGCAGTTCAGGAGTGAAGTCAGCACAATCGGGACCACCCAACATGTTCATCTTGTAAGCCTTCGTGGGTTCTGTGCAGAAGGTAACAGTAAGCTATTGGTATATGATTACATGCCAAATGGTTCCCTAGATTCCCATCTTTTTCATGAAAAATCGGTTCTAAACTGGAAAACAAGATATCAGATTGCACTTGGAACGGCAAGAGGGTTGGTTTATCTTCACGATGAGTGCAGAGACTGTATAATTCACTGTGACATAAAGCCAGAAAACATCCTCCTAGATGATGATTTCTGCCCAAAGATTGCAGATTTTGGTCTGGCAAAGCTTGTTGGTCGAGACTTCAGTAGAGTTTTGACAACTATAAGAGGGACAAGGGGGTATCTAGCACCAGAATGGCTATCAGGTGTGGCCATCACAACCAAAGCTGATGTCTTTAGCTACGGAATGTTGCTTTTTGAATTAGTAAGCGGTAAGCGAAGTACAGATGGATCTGTAGATTCAACGCGTACATTCTTCCCTTGTTTGGTTGCGAGCATTCTTATGGCGGGAGGTGATATTCTCAGCCTACTAGACAGTAGGCTAATCAGAGAAGCCAGCGCTGAAGAAGTGAGTAAAATTTGCAAAGTTGCATTTTGGTGCATCCAAGACGAGGAAGACAGTAGACCTTCGATGAGTGTGGTGGAACAGATTCTTGAAGGGGTATTGGATGTGAACATCCCTCCAGTTCCACGATCCGTCCAATTATTTGTTGGTAACACGGAGCCTATTGTTTTCTTCACCGAGTCATCCTCACAAGCGAGTGATTGTTAAATCACCGAGCCCAATAGAAAAAGCTTGGGAAAAAGAGGTATTGAATCTTTATTGGATATTGCTTTGAAAGGTGGTAATCATTTGAGAACCAGTTATTTATGATAACTGTGAGATCCAATCACATATATGAATTTATTGAGTAATCAGAGTGTGAATTATCATTTCTAGAGTTAATGTTTGAAAAGGTTTGATTTGTGGGTGCTTTTGGATTTGAGATCTGGCTTGTTTAATCTGACATGATCATTTTCATTGGTGGCATTTGTTGTTCTATTGGATTTGAACTTTGTTTATTTATTTCATATTTGATACCTTTGGTGGAAAGTTGGAACCATTGATGACTTTTTAACATACTAGTGGTGTAACTGTGTAAGATGCAGCGCGGGTGAATTGAAACATTAGTTTAGCTTTGAATCATGAGTTTGTGTGGTTATTTCACAAGTAAACTAACATATAAAGTTGAAGATTAATATGGTGTATTAGCAAGATCGACCGGAAAAATAATTGCACACATGTTGAGTTTCTAAACCCATATAAAGTTGAAGGGTTGGGGTGGGGTACATGCAAGATTTGAAACCCTTTATGATATTGTTGCTTCAAATTTCAGTTTACTTCAAGAGAAAGAAGAATCTTAAATTTGGGTTCAAAATAGGAAACAAACAACATGTCAAACAACTTTGAAAAAGCAACCCAAGAGTTCCAAGATTTATAGAAAGACTTGGACCTTAGAGATATCTAATCGAAGGACCGAGATTGAATTTTGCACCTTAGCAACTATCTGTTTTTATTTATATATCATGAAATTAATATGTAAAACAATTAACTAAATTAAGTATTTAAAATTACATATTCCCTCCTAAGTTTACCTTTACAGATTATAAATTTATAATCTTTTTGTTATTTTAGAGTAACAAAATGATGATGGTTGTTTTTTGTTCATTTGTTTAGCATCTAAGCGAATGAAGATGAACGGACACGAATAAACACATTTTTTACGACCATAAACACAAAAAAATTCGTTCACTAAAATTCATGTTGTTCGGTTAAGTTAAAAGAGTCTCTTCGTTTCCTTCGGTTATGTTATTTTAGAGCAAATTGTATAAAAAAAATAACGTACTTTAATTTGATTTATATTTTAGGTAATGTATTTTCAAAACTTCCATTTTGGTTCATAAGATGTAAGATTTTAAACATTTAAGTACCCGGGTAACTGGTTGAAACATTAACCGGTTACCATGCTGATGTAGCGAGTCATATGGTATCCAACTCGGTATTATTTGCTGAAGCATTAACCGGGTACCACCTCACTCGCACATCAACATGGTAACTGGTTAACCGGATACTTAAATGTTTGAATATTTACATCTTAGGTATCAAAATGGAAGTTTTGAAAATAAGTTACTCAGAATAGGAATCAAGTTAAAGTACGCTATTTTTCCATGCAATTTGCCCTTTATTTTATATATAAGTATATTGTTTTTGGGTAAGGTTCCGTTGAGAAGAAGACTTAAGGTGAGAAACATAAGAAGAGATCTCCATTCTTGGATGTATTGCACTGAGCTATGTAGAGGGTGCTCATGGTTTGAGTTAATCGCGTTGAAGACATTTGAATAACCCAACTCAATGCTTGTAGTTTGAAAAATCTTAACCCAACCCAAACCGAAGCGCAACCCAATCCAACCCAAATCGTACAGGTTGGTCGGGTTGATACTTTGATAAATTAAAATATCCTTCTAACATCGAATATGTTATTTTCCTACTCATAATTTCTTTTTCATTATTAACTATTTGATACAACTTATTCATACTTTTTACGTATATCACATTCATTTAATTTGTTACTCAACATATATACGAATGAATTGTATAGAGACGTGAATAAATTGAAAATATGTGTATATGAAGAGCGGACATGATAATGTAATTGTATAATGTATATATTAATAGAAATTCAATAATCATATTAAATTCATGAAATAAAAAAATATCGGGTTCATCGGATTGGATTAAGTTCAAATAATAATAACCTAATATCAATCAAATACATACGGTTTGAAAATTTTACAACTCAATTAAATATGATCAAGTTAAATTATTTCATGTTGAGTTGAGTTTATCTAAGTTTTTAAACACCCCGAACGATATGTACCAAGAATCCGAGCTTAACTCTACTTCTCGTGCTATTCTTCACGGTCGTTTTCTTGATAAAAGTTACGTATATGCCTTGAAAATATATGGTGACCGACTTTTGAAAACGTAGTTCCTCGGGTATTTGGAAGCTAAAATCCCCGCCAAGGAGAACGTCACCATCTCAACCTTTAAAACCTAGATTTCAAATTCGATTGATACGAACAACAAATGGAGAGAGGAATGATATCAGTGGATAGGTGGGCGGATAGCAGTCAGGTGTATTTCCTAACTCATCTTCACGCCGATCATACCGCTGGTTTATCGTCTTCTTGGAAGAGAGGTCCACTTTTCTGCTCTCGCATTACTGCTAAGCTGTTTCCTCCCAAATTCCCCGGTTTCGACCTCTCATTGCTTCGAATCCTCGAAATCGGGCAA